AGTCTGCTTCAGCAGACATCATAAACCACTTTTTTTTCCCCAGGTGCTCTGTCCTGGGGAGTTAGGGCTTTATTTATGAGTTTCTGTTGTGCTGCCTTTTTTTCAGGGCTGCCCTGCCCAGCGAGGAGCCATCCTAATCACTGTCTGCCTGCAGAGGCTTTGCTGAGCTGCTGTGGGCTCTGCCTAGATGCCCTGTGAACTTCCCTGCAGTCCTGTTTATACAGGTGTAGTTAGAACTGCCTCGGCAATGGCAGTGCACCTCTGTAATGGCAGACTCTCTCTGTAATGGTGGGTTTCCTCAGCAACAGTGGGCTGCCTCAGCAATGGCGGACTACCTTCATAGTGGTGGAGTGCCTCGGTAATGGCGGACACCCCTCCCCCACATAGCTTGACCTTCCTGGGTTCAGCTGTGCTTGCTGTGAAACTCTCAATCCAGAGCATTTCCAATTGCTGTTTTTTTGTGGGGGTGGAACCAGCTGAGCCTGATCACCTGGCTCCCTGCCTCAGAGCCTTTTTTTTAGTTGAACGATTGACTCTCCCAGGTGTTCCAGTCACCTGTTGAAAAGACGCTGGGATCTGTGTGATTTCCCACCTGGCAACCCACTGCGCCAGCTGAAACAGCAGCACTGAGATTCGTGGCACTTTTTTGCTTGGGAATCTCCTGGCCTGACTCCCTGTTTCAGTCCCCTTTTTAATCAGATGAATGGGTGACTCTGCCTTCCCAGAGCTCCAAATGCCAGCTAAAATGGCGCCCAAACCCGTGTATTTTATATGGAGAACCGCTGTGTGCAGGCGCCGGCAAAACAGCCCAGCGGGCCAAAACAGCCACGCAGGCCAAACCAGCCGTGCTGGTGACCCATGGGGCTCCTCTGCCTGGGAATCTCCTCGTCTGTGGGCAATAAAAATCCATCTGGAAATGCGGCGTCCACTCACCCTCTGCACTTTCACTGGGAGCTGCAATCCTGAGCTGCTCCTAATCGGCCATGTTGGATCCCTCTCAGATTTTTAACTATATTAGTTAGTCCTGATCTTAATGAACAAAAACTAAGCAGCTAATGAATTCCCCTCATCCCATTTTCCCCCACAGAAAACACTTAGTTTTTCATTATCAGTCATACTGGGGATGGTTGTGTTTTCTGTGGAAGATTTTATAACTTGCAGTGCAAATAATGCAAATATTCCTTGTTTACTTCATGAAGTGTCACAGCTAAAAAAAAGCAAGAACTGTGTTTTGAACCCTCACTGAAATCCTCCCTGTTACTTAGAATTTATGGTTCTCCCATCCATATGAATTTTATATGCTGTCAAAATCAACAAGAAATGTAAATGCACATGCCTTGAAGCACTCTTCATGTTTCTTTCTACGAGTCATTTCCAAGGGCTTCATGAGACAAAGTCAGTAATTACCCAGACAGACTTTAGGTGTTAAATATTTTTCAAACAAACCCAGTTAATGGCATCAGTAATAAAGAGCAGGGAAACAAAGAGATTATAGTGTTTCATTCCCACCTGACACCCTCAGGAGAACAGAGAACACAAGGCAAACCCGTAAGTGTTTGTATACTCCCTGAGCTGTACAGGCAAAGTTCACAGGAAGCAGTTAAAGATGCAGCAACTAAACCCAGCATTTAACTGGGTTTCTTTGGAATCTTGCTGTTTTATGCAATTAAAAGCCTGGTGGAAGATATATCATTACTACTCAATCTCGATGTTTATAATAGAGTTCGATTTTTAAGGTAGCTCCTCTACTACCTGTGCCTCAACAAAAATCTTACAAAGAAAACCTTCCTGCAGGAACTGTACGACTCAGCTGGTTAATCCCAGAGGTGCCATCGCTGTTCACTGCCATGTAAGCAATTAGATTCCCTGCTGTACTGAGCCTCCCCAGGGACCTTTAGGGATAGGGAGGAACCCAGGAAAGACTCTCCACTACTTTTGAAATGGAGACAAAGAATGCTGTGGCATGATTGCAGCAGACCACAGGTTCACACCGAGGACTAACTTGTATATAAGCCAATGATGCTTCATGCTCTGAAGAAGATGAGAGAGACAGACTGCCAGATGCCACAGTGGAGAAACTTCTGCCCTAAATGCATGTACCAGAGACCTTCCTAGAGAATCATTTTAGCCACTCCATTTCTGCTATCCTTCGACTCAGCTCCTGTGCCACCTCATAAATGAAGCTGACACCATATCCTATAGTCAAAGACATTCTTTCCCTCTTCTGGTTTCACTTATACTGCTTACCTGTCTACGCTGACCATAACACTTCTGCCTTGTGTCTTGTGCAGTTGTATTCATGTCTGTCTCTCCTACTATTTTGTATGTCCCAAAGGGAAAGATCTAAGGCTATTGTATTTTTGTAATTTCCTATCTTAGGTACTCATTAATAATTATAACAAAATGACACTTATTGAGCTATTTTTTTAACTTGAGACAGGGTCTTCCTCTGTCATCCAGGCTGGAGTACAGTGGCACAATCATTTTTCAGTGAAGCCTCTAACTCCTGGGCACACGCCACCATGCCCAGGCAATTTTTTAATTTTTTTGTAGAGATTCAAAAAATGGTGGTGCCCAGGCTGGTCTTGAACTCTTAGACTCAAGCAATCCTTCTACCTTGGTCTCCCAAAGTGCTGAGATTACAAGTGTGAGATGCCACCCCTTAGCCCTTGTGTACTTATATGCTGGGCACATTGCATATATAGTATGGTTTCTTATAATTCTGTAGCATGATAGGTAAAGAGCATGGGCTTTGGAGCAAGACCACCTGTGTTCAAAGCCTTCCTCCTTCTGCAGTCTGCCAAATAACCTTGAAACAGACAGAATCCCAGTGGTTTTCTGATTTATAGCCTCAGCTCTGTTATATCTCCATAGAAGCCCCATAGATTTAATTCAATTAGACCCATTAGCTTAAAGACCAAACTCATTCCTCTTTATTACTACACAATCCTAAGGCAGCCCCCGTTAACTTGTGACTTAACGTATTCAGGTTTTTAGACAAAGAGAGTAATTTTGCTAATCATATGAATAATATTAATTTTTACATTTCTTTAGTATTTTGCCATTTTTACAGTTCTTTCATGTAAATTACCTCTACTGATCTTCATACCATTCTTGTAAGGTGGGCAAGATGGCTGTCCTTTTCCCCACTTTACTGAGAAGTACAATGAAGAGAGAGAAGCAAAATGACTTGAAATTTATCTCATAGCCAGACAGTAGCAGAGCTGCAACTGAATCCAAGATATAAATTCATCGACAGGCTTCCTGCCTCTATCTTGCTTTGTTCCTCAGCAACACACACGTGTATATGCACAGACTTACTAGCAGGCACCAAGAACCAGGTGCTGAGTTAGAGCTTCCATGGTTCAGTAACCATAGCAATTGCTGCTGTCCTCATGGCAAGTGATATCACCCAGCACACACTTGCTCCAAGATTTGAGTTACAAAAGATGAGGCATTTTCCACTGAGGGCCATTAAGTTTGGAATTCCCTTGTCTTGGTCTGACATAACCCTAGAGTATTCATCTTCTGGGTTCTTGCAAACCATATCAAGTTGAGTTAGCCAGTCATGATTGGCAAGAAATCCTAACAGGCAGGAGGCAGGTGCTAAACTGACTTCTACATGTGAGCAATTTTCAATTTTGTGGGTGGATTATTTTTCCCTAGGTATCCTTTAGGATAGCTACCCAGGCATACATTATTCTCATTCTTTAAAAATGCATTTATAGTTCATAGTCTGCATGGTTTTGTTTCTGTGTTCTTACATCATGTCACAAATGATGTGATGGAGAAACCTATAGGGAAGTTTTTGTTTCTTTTGCATAAACTGTTTTTGCAGTAATTGAACAGCCATAGAGAAAAGATTATCTCCTGTGCACTCACAGCAAGTTCTCTGGTCACTAGAGACCAATAAGCTGTGTCCCTGGAACTATTATCACTTTGTTGAAGAAGCTGCTATGTGAACAAAAAACATCCTTCGTTAATTTCCCTTTTCATATTTAAAAAACCTTGTCAACATTTTCCCTTTGGGAATCTATAATTTGTCAATAGTGCATATTATTTTAGTTCTAAGGAGGAGAGATGCAGGGCAGTATGTCCTTATTAAGATACTCTCATTCATCGATCTTCATGCCAAATAAAGTAAAATACTTCACATCTTTACTGTATTATAGCATATGTTTTTTCATTTCATAGAAATATAAATATTTAGATGTGTAAACCACTTTTGAGACTAATTTGAATTCTACGTCCTCCACCTCACCCTAGTCCATTTAACTGATGGTGGAAGGCTGAGAAGTAAGGTGATCAAACTGAGCCTGCATTCTCCTCAGTGATGGAATCGGGATATATGTTCTCAGTCTGGTGCTCTCTTCCATTGTACCCTGCAGTGTGTATCTGTTTTCTCTTCATAACTGTTATGTAAGCTTCGGGAAGCAGGGATGATCCTTATATATGCCAATTAGAACTGCCTGGCAAATGCTTGTTAACTAATGTCAGCCATTGTGTCATAGTTATAAGAGCCCACATGTTACACCTCCATTTCATTATCTGTTCTTTAATATTCAGCCTCCTGTGTAGATGTAGAAAAAGTTAAAATATGCCAAGTAATATATGATAGAAAGGAATCTGATTAAGCTTGCTTGCCTTTGTTTTTTACATCCACATTGAAGTTGAAAAATGTTTTAAGGAGAAATCTCATGGACCTAAAGTTATTTATGAATGGTTTCAATGGTCTCATATATATAGTGATTAGATTCCAATGACATATTACTATTTTTTTAATTGTGTTTTTTTTCCAGCCATGGGAAAGGAAAGGATGGATGGTAGAGTTCATTTTTAGAGTGAAAGAATAAACATCACAAGTTAGTCTGACCTCAGCTGTCGGTTTATTCATTGTGGATTTTTGTGCCATGGAAGAAATTTGTTCAGGAATTGTTTGCTCTGCTATTAGTTTGTATGCACAGTAACATTCTAAATACTCACTATAAACTGAATTATAGTTTGTTTCAGTGTTGGAAGGCGTGTTGTCTAAGCTGTCAAGGTATGATGAAGGCACTTTCTTTTCATCCATTCTGTCATTCACTGTAAGTATTTGAATGAGTTCTCTTCTGTGGTCTTTTAACTGTTGTCGTAGTACTTATATAGCAGTTAAAAAAAATAATTCTCATAATTATCTCTTTCTTTCCCACTTAAGGTGAAAGCAGCTGCAAAATATGTTGATGTTCCAGTAAGTATTTTTTAAACTATATGTAATTCTTTAAAAAAAAAAAAACGATAATTACAGTTCATCATGGGTTTATTTCAAGTCTTTACACCAGTGCCATTTTCCTAGGGAGTAGTTAATTTTCCTTAAGCTAGCACCAACGTTCATAATAAGGCTTAGCAAGGTTATTTCAGTGACTTTTTCTGTTGTAACTCAGAAACTCTTAAGGAGGTCATTTCATCATGAGAACATGTCACCTGAGTTGCAGAAGAAAGTTATAGCACTCTAGGATGGGATAGAAAATGCCTCACACTATTTATAGAAAAACTGCTCGCTTTTCCTCCTCTTTATATGAAGGCTGTAACAGGTTTCTTACAGAAGGTAAAATAATGATAAAGATGAGCCAGTTAAATAATTGGTTTTCTAAATATAAATGTATTATATAAATCAATAGTCACTCATTTTAACATTTAGCTTTTCATAGAATTCTTGGGAAATAACTTATAAGTTCATTCCAAAATTAAGATTCCATGAGCAGAAATCATGAAACTGACTTAGCTACAATGAGAAAATTCACATGGTAAGTATAACCAACAAGTTGTGCAGCATTTTTAAGCTGATCATCATACCAAATTAGTTTTTTAAATTCTATTATCACATGTATGATCAAGGCCTGAGGTGTTCTGTTTAATCATTTATTTTGACATATATATCAATTTTCAAAGACTTAGAGCACAGTGAAAAAATTAAGATTCAAACTAGATGGAATATGGATTTGCTCTTTGTATCTGAAGAAGATCGTATCTCTACATTGCCATTATAAATGATAGCAGTTTTGAGTACTGGCAAGCTTTATATATTAGTTGTAGATAGCGCTAATTTTTAGGATGTGTATACCACATTTTGTCTCTGGCTTTATTGCTGCTGTAGTTATAAATGAATATGTAAATGAGAAGGCCCTGGACTTTTCTAGTTTTACATGGGGTTTTTTTGAACTGGACTTTTCATTTGATAAGTGATTCCCAAGGAAGTCTTCACATCCTCCTCATCTTGTACCTAGAATCAAAGAATCGGTGCTGGACAATAAGTAGAAAAAAATCACATGTGTAGACTCCCATAAAACAGCAGCATGAAAGGGAGAATTAAGGGGAGATTTTATATTTGATATCTCAAAAAGAAAGCAGCAAATAACCTTGTATACATCTGAACTTCATTGGCCTTCGTAATATGCGTCTTATATTTTTTGTTTGATTTTGAATTGCAAATGGACTGTGACATCAAAATTATTAATATTCTTAGAGATTTTGAGGTTTTTAATTGACCCTGTACCAGTTTATTCTCTCCAGAGAATTTCAGAATTGGAGGAGACAGAAAATGGTTCATTTGTTTTCTTTCTCAGTGCAAGTAATCCCTCCTCTAACATCCCTTACAAAGATTCACGAGGTTTCTGTTTATTTCAGTAGTTACGAGATCACTATATAGCAGCCTACTCTTAAGTATTATAAGTTGAAATTCTGTGTCTCTGTGAATTGTATCCGTTAATCCTGGTTCTAATTTCTCTTCTGCCTGGTAGCTCTTTGCATACTTGATGACAATTTTCATGCCTCCTCTTTCCAGGAGATGTGGTAGCTATTCACAGGCATATATCAAGAGAGGAATGAATGCTTATTTTCTAGATTAAACATTGTCAATTTATTCACTAAACCCACTAATTAAATATTTATTTAGCACATACTAAATGCTAGGCCCTGGACATACATGATGAAATATACATTTCTTGCCCTCAAATGGTTCACAATCTTAAAGACAAAACAGACAGAGAAACAGACACATCATCATGCACACTTCTATGGCAATCATACCCAGAAATTATTACCCTAGAAGAATTCTAACTTATCAATGTCACCATTAAATCAAGTTGCCTTATAGAGCAGAACATACTATACCGTAGATGTGGTTTGACCATGCCAGATTACAAAGTGATAAGTTTCTCCCCAGTTGTGAACATTCCACTTCTATTGTTGATGCCTGTGAATGTTAACTTTATAAGCTATGAGGTCTTATTGGCCATTATTCTTTTTTATGCTCAAACTCCAGCAAGTATGCCTCTCTGAAGCTGTCTCTTAAGGAGAGTCTCATGAGAAAAAGAGTGCTGGCTCACCTTTCACAAAAATTAACTGAAAACAGATCCTAGACCCAGATACAATGCAGAAGAACTATACGACTTCAAGAAGAAAATATGAGATAAAATATATATGGCCTTGGATTTGAGGATGAGTTTTTAGATACAACCCCACATAATCCATGAAAGGAAAATAAATGGATAAATTGGATTTAAAAATTGCTAAGTGTACTCTTATTCACTGTTAAGAGAATGAAAAGCTAAGCCACAAATGGGAAGAAATATTTGCAAAACACATATCTGATAAAGGACTCGAATCCAAAGTGTTCTAAGAACTCTTAATACTCAACAATATGAAAACAAACAACAAAACTTTTTTAATAGGCCAAAGATCCAAACAGACATTGCAACAAAAAAGATATGCAGATACCAAGTAAGCTTATGAAAAAATGCTCAATATCATTTGTCATTAAGAAAATGCAAATTAAAAGAAGATACCACTGTGCTCTTATTAGAATGGCAGAAGTCCAAAATAAACTGACAGCAGCAAAATGTTGACAAGGATAAGAGAGCAACAAGAACTCTCATTCATTGCTGGTAGGAATGGTACAGCTACTTTGGAAAACTGTTTGCCAGTTTCTTTTTAAGCCAATTTAAAAAGCTTGCAAACTGTATGATCCCATTTATATCACATTCTACAAAAGGTAAAACTATAAAGACTATAAACAGATTAGTGGTTGCCATGAGTTCAAGGTTAGGGAAGGTTTAATTGTTCAAGTATAGGGAATTTTTTTTTTTTTGAGCAGAGTGCCTGTTCTGTATGATATTATAATGGTAGATACATGACACTGTGCACTTCTCAAAACCAAACTTTATAGCAAAAAAAAAACCCTGAATATATTCAATCATTTAAAATTCAATTAAGTGATCATAGAATCCCAGGATGGAAAGTAAACTATAATAAAATAATTCTGTTGTGAATGTATGAGATAATCTCACTGAAAGAGAAGTGGGGAAAGCACTGATCTTCGTGACTTTGGAAATTAGGGGAGTCTGTAAAAATAAGGGAAAACGGAACTAATGAGTAAGCATTATACTCTGGTTGATAAGGTTTTTCTCCACAGTTTAACAATTCTGAAGCCACGATACATGTATATTGGAATTGAACAATTAAGTAAATGGATGGCAGTTGATAGGAGCCCAGTTTCTCACTGTTGGAGTAAGGTTAGAGGCAAGCAAAGGAGGGGGGCTAGAATGATCCTGTAATAGATCAGAGTTGGAGATATCAGTGTGAACTTATCATTAGCTTAATACGGTTGGAGCTGGTTACATTTTACAACATTTTTAGACGTATGTATATGCATGTATTAATGTGTTCACATATATTTTCTTGGTCTATTAGCTCAGAGGGCCTAGAAGCAGTGATACCCCAGTAGCAACAAGCCCACACATCACTCAGATATTGATCTGTAATATTTAATGAAATAAACCAGGGCTCCTTGGAGAAATGGCTGATTCTGGAAAATATACAGAATGAACGTGGAGCATCTTGTAGTGACAGAAAGTAAGGAGATATTCACAAAAGACAAAATGGTTGGAAGTGTGTCAGAGAGACACAGCAGATAATGGAAAGATCTCCCAGTGGCCTAAGCTAGGACAATTTGATCAAATACGTAAAGTAATATTGGATTATAACTCAAAATATAAAATAAATACCAATTGGCCCATACTGATACAAATAAATATTGAAGTACATAAATGAGAAGAAAAGACAGCTCCCTCATGCAGATGAATTCCAAATAATTAATACAGATATTTCCCTCTCAAGGAGGTGGAGCATATATCCTCACTCCTTAAGTGTGGGAGGTACATAGTAACTTCCTTCTGAAGAGTACAATATACAAAGGAAAATAGGGAGAATAAATTTACAATGGAGAAATTTGAGAAATATTACCCCAGCCAGTTGATCAAAGGTCAACATCCGCAGTGATAAATTATACTGATAATATCAGCCCTTGATAGGATGTGATGAAAATGGTACTTTATGATCTTCCTCTAAAAAACTTGTAACTACAGTCTAATTATGAAAAGAAAATCAGACACATTTCAATAGATGATATACTACAAAATATCTGAGAGTACTCCTTAGAATTTTCAAGGTCATCAAAAAGAAGGAAAGTCTGAGAAAGTGACATGACCAAGAGTAGTCCAAGGAGACCTAATTATTAAATGTAACGTGATTTCCTGAATGACATCATGGAACAGAAAAAGGATATTGGGTAAAAACGAAGGGAAACTGAATAAAGTGCACACTTCAGTTAATAATAGTGTGTCAATATGTGTTCATTAATTGTAGCAAATGTACCATACTCATGTAAGATGACAATAATAGGGGAAAATGGGCGTGGGTTATATGGAATCTGTATAATATTTCTACAGTGCTTCTGTAAATCTAAAATTTTCTAAAATAATATGTTTATTAAAAGAAAAGGGCACTGACCAAGGACTAAATAATACCTTACTTTAGTTGATTTTATGTGGCTATGTGCCCTTGAAACTATATGACCTTGGGCATTATTTAAATGGCCCCAGTCTAGTCATCTATAAAATTAGTGAATAAGCTATGTAACTGCATTAGGTTTTTTAACTGTAACATTCTGTCCCCTCGTGAGTTCTTGTCCAATTCTGTGAGACAACAGAGCCCAAAACTGTCCCCTGGAAGGCAATACCTTCTTATAATACTGTTACTTATCAGAATTTGTTTTGTTTTTTTTTGTTTTGTTTTTGTTTGGTTTTTGTCTGTGTGGTTTTTTGTTTTTGTTTTTTGCAGTCTCACTCTGTCCCCCACGCCAGAGTGCAGTCGCCTGATCTTGGCTCACGGCAACCTCCACCTCCCGGGTTC